GGGGTTGTGAAATGAATTATCTGAGTTTCCATTATTTCTTATGGGGAAATTCACTTTGATATACAAGTGCTTTGGATTACAAGCATGCTTCCAGAATGAATTATGCTCACAAACCAAGGTTTTACTGTGTTTTATAGTTAATTTTGATAAATCCTAGGAATGAATGCTGTCTTTAAGAATGTATAACCTTATTTACTTGCACACAGAAAATGACATTTAAAGCCTCCTTAAGTCCAATTTTTATAAAAATTTCATGCACTGTGCAACTTTCTTGAGCTCAAGTTTGCACAATAGTCTCTGATGAGGCCTTATTGTTCCCATTATGTTTACTCACAGTCTCTGCTATCAGGTCAGGGTGTGTTTCCCTAAACCACCCTGATTAAATGCTTTCTAATTACCTATCACTCACCAACCAACTTCTGTCTTCTCTAATCCTAAGGTAATTCCTAGACCAATTAATTCCTGAATAGTTGATGAGAAAACATTGTGTCTATAACTGAGCCTTAGCCCAATGACACCTAATTCACAGCTGACCAATGAAGCCACAGAAGACACAGCAGTTTCCTTATCTGTGATGACCCCACATCTCTGATTCAGGCAGACCCACCTCCCAGCGAGCTCCCGGAGATCTGCTCTAATGCCTGCCCTCAGTTCTTTCCTCACCTGCAGGTCTGTCCGACCTTATTGGTTTGTACATCCTATGGCAGGTTTCATATTTTCTAACAGTGCAGCTGAAATCATTTTATCTTTATGGGTTTACTAACAACTTGTTCATACATACAATCTAGGTATCCTCATGTCCATCTGGAAGATGAGAAAACACATTTACAGCCTATGAACTCCAGCTATCATTCCATGGCACCACTTGACTCAACCTTGTTTGTCCAAGTTCCAAACCCTGTTTTTAATGGAAATACTTTGCTTCCAAATACCTGATCATCCTGTTTTTGAAGGTGAATGAATCATTTGGGGAAAGGTTTTTCTTTTGCACTTTATGGACTGATCTGTGTTTCACCTGATTTTCAGCCACTCACTCACTCTCTGGGTCTGTGAGAAATTGATACGGATACTGATTGTGTTTATGTTGCATGCCTTGCCCCTCATGACAGAAATCTCAGGGCACTAGGATGGCTCAGCCAGTTAAGTGTCTGACTTTGGCTCAGGTCATGATCTCATGGTTCCTGGGTTCAAGCCCCACATTGGGCTCTGTGCTGACAGCTCAGTGCCTCAAGCCTGCTTTGGATTCCATATCTCCCTCTTTCTCTCTCTGCCCCTCCCCTGCTCATGCTGTCTCTCAAATATAAACGTTAAAAAAAATTTAATCTCATTGAAGAGAAACCTACTAGTTAAATCTAATATTCAATCTATTTCTTTGTTTCCCATTTCCACTTTTTTTCTTTTCTGCTCTATGCAGGTTACGTATAATTCATCTCCATTAAATTCTTACATTTTATGTTTTTTCATGCTGACATTTAAGGACCACACTTTTGTTTACCCCATTTTAAAAACATTTATTTATTTCATGGTACATTTGCATTCACCAATTGTAGAAAGGGAAGAGCTCAAGCTTATTCTTGCTCCTCTATATTTCTCACTGTACTTGCATATAACTTTCTCCTGTCCTTGATTCTCCTTATTATGATGCTGGACAATTCTAGACAGCATGTATTTCCCTTTTCTAAACATCCCCCCTCGGTAACTTCCTCCTTCTTCATGTTTGTTGCATTATCTACAGGTCTGCTTCTTTCATGTCTTAGATTTTTAGCCTTCCTTTAAAATTTCTGATGGCTTTACCCCCTTCCAACTGCTTTTGAGATCTCCTCCATCTGGTTTTTTTTTTTTTTTTAAAGCAAGTTCTACACCCAATGTGGGGCTTGAATTCAAAACCCCAAGATCAAGAGTCACATACTCTACCAACTGAGCAAGCCAGACACCGCTATTTCTTTTTCATTGCACAGACATTCTCATTTATCCTATCTATATTGTGTTCTTTACGAAACCACTGAATTTGATGTCCAATATTTCCACATATCACAGCTTTTTTAAAATTTTATTTTTACTTTTACCGTTTTTGAGAGAGAGCATGCACCTGCAAAAGCGCAGGAGGAGCAGAGGGAGAGGGAGGGAAGAGAATCTTGAGCAGGCTCCACACTCAGTCCAGAGCCCAACACAGGGCTTGATCTCACGACTGTGAGAGCATGACCTGAGCCAAAATGCTTAACCAACTGAACAACCCAGGTGATCCAACTATCACAACTTTTATATTGTACTATATATTACTAATACTCTCCTCACTTTGAAAACAACTATATTTTACTTTACAGATATTGTAGTCTTTTACAAAATATGTTTTTCCAGGGGCGCCTGGGTAGCTCAGTCGGTCAAGCGTCTGATTTCGGCTCAGGTCAGAATCTCACAGTTCATGGGTTTGAGTTCTGCACCAGGCTCTGTGCTGACAGCCAGCTCAGAGACTGGAGACTGTTTCAGACTCTGTGTCTCCCTCTTTCTTTGACCCTCCCCTGCTCACGCTGTCTCTCTCTCAGAAATAAATTTAAAAAAAATTTTTTTTAATGTATTAAAAATATGTTTTTCCAGTGTTATAGGTAGCCCCCTTTACAATGGTTTTGCTTACAGGTAACTTTGAACGATAAGGCTAACAGATGCCTTCTTCAGATACGAGAAAACCAGAAAGTCATGGCAATGAAAAGGGTGGTGTCAATTAGTCATATAATCTTGATGCAGTAGCAGCTGCTAGGTTTTGCTTGCCAATCTGCCATAGATTTGTCTAGTAAAGAAGCCACATGCCCAAACTGATTGAGAAAGATTATTCCTTACATAGATAGCATAAGAAAGACAGCAAACATTGTCACCTCCTGCTATTCTTGTCACAGAGGACACCACCAAACCAAAGGGAGCAGATTACAGGCAACACGTGTAGTGGTACTGTTGCTGAGGAGCCTATTCAAGCCTGGATCTGAGTGGTTTTATATTCTTGTAGATGGACCCTACGGAGGGAAAGATTAAGTGGAAATTTCCATGTCTCATAGGAATCAAGAAGGTAGTGAAACTCTCATACACTGTTGGTAGGAAATATGAAAAAGAAATAACCATTTCACATCAGTTTGGCAATTTCTTAAAAAGTTAAATACTTACGTACCCTATGCTTCAGGCATTGCACTCAGAGGTATTAACACAAAAGAAATGAAACGTTTATCTGTATAAAGATTTATATGTGAATCTTCATAACAGCCTTATTTGTAACAGCCCAAACCTGGAAACCCAGATGTCAATGAACAGATGAACCCAACATCAGATAGCAGTAGATCCATATCACAGAACACTACTCGGCAGTGAAAGAACTAGTTCTTTGAATCTCTAATTATGCAGCATATATGAAGCCAGAAAAAAGTAAATATTTTATGATTCTAATCAACTAAAATTCTAGAAAATATAGTCTATTGTAAAGGAAAGAAAATCCAAGTTTGTCCAGAAAGCCAGAGAGGGTGGGAAAAGAGATTAATAAAATGTAGGAGGTAAATATGTGTGGGACTTATTATCACAATTATGACGATTTCGTGGATTACACTGTCAAGAACTTACCAATTTATACTTAAAACATATGTCTAGTCATTGTAACTTAAAGCTTTAAGCAACGGTTCAAAATGAATATAGATCTGGGGCGCCTGGGTGGTTCAGTAGGTTGAGCGTCCGACTTCGACTCAGGTCATATCTCATGATGCGTGGGTTTGAGCCCTGTGTCAGGCTCTGTGCTGACAGCTAGCTCAGAGCCTGGAGTCTGTTTCGGATTCTGTATCTCCCTCTCTCTCTGACCCTCCCCTGCTCACGCGGTCTCTATCTCTCTCTCAGAAATAAATAAAACATTTAAAAAAATTAAAAAACAACAACAAAAGGAGTATGGATTTCCCCCTCTTTATAAAAAATCAGGTTTGGCAACTATTATCTCCCATCAACTTTTTTTTTTTTTGAATGTTTATTTATATTTGAGAGAATAAGCAAGCATGGGGGAAGGGCCCGGAGAGAGGGAGAGAGAGAATCCCAAGAGGCTCTGTGCTGTTACAGTAGAGCCCAACATGTTGCTGAAACTCATGAGCTGAGATCATGACCTGAGCTGACATCAAGAGTCAGATACTTAACTGACTGAGCCCCCAAGGCGCCCCACCCATCACTCTCTCCTAATGCTTTAGGAGGAAGGTCTTACCTCAAGAATAACAAATACTGGTGAGCAATGGTGGATGTTTCCACCACAAACTCTCCCTTCTCTATTCTTATTTTCCTGCATGTGTAATAAGTCCTCTAAGGTCAACAGTCCAGAAAGCTACAGGAATCACAAAACCTTTATTTTCTCTGCCAATGACCTCAACTACGCAAGACACACAGGTCTAGAGGTATGTACTTACCCAACACAGCCACAGCCACACTCACTGCAATAGCTGAGGGTGTACTTTTAGAAGCAGCACAGTCCACCTACCTGCAGCAATTACGATACCCTCCCTGGGCCCTACAGCTTTAAGATCAGTGACACTACTTTACAAATTCTAGACATCAGGGCACATGGCTCCTCTGAAGGACCTGGGGGAAGAGACTCCCCTTCACCATGTGGTCATTACAGAATATGCACTATAGGAAAGGAATCAATCCCAGAAGCACTGGATATTCTTGCAAGTGCTTGCTCTTCAATGTGACCTTCAATGTGACCTCTGGGCCCACAAAAAGACCTTGGCATTCAGGCTACAAATTAGTTGTACAAAGGTTACAGTCTTTCCTTGGAGGCCATGGACAAGAATGCAAACTAGGACCAAACTCAAGAGCTGTCCTCTGCCATCAGATGATTTCTTCCGAGGTGCACCATAGAACCACCCCTCAAGCAGTTTACCCCTGCATGATGTTTTCAAAGCACCCAAGACAAAAGGTGCCTTTCAAATACAACCCCCAAGACAAAAGGTGGCTTGAATAATGCCTTTTTTACTGCACAAACCATAGCAAAGGGAGGCAGTGTACAAGTTGGTGACATGGAGACTGGAAAAATTCCATCACAAGAGTCATATGAAAACAATGTCTATGAAGACAAACTTTCTCTGCAAGTCACTAATAGAACACAAATAAGGTCTTTTAGGAGAAAACTGGGTCGAGTACACACATTAGAGAGAAGGAAGTGATGCCCTCTGAAGGCTCAGGTTGTTCGTCTTCTCCAGAGAAAACAGAGGTCTACATCCATAAATACTAGGTGACTGATGCACAGCATGGGGGCCTGGGCCTTTCAGGGACTTGAGTTCAGATGACTTATACCACAGAAACTGGCAGTGACACAATTTCAGCAAGGGCCCCAACCAGGTTAGGAAGAGCGGTTCCTGGAAGCTTCCCACGTATCTGGAACATACAGAGAATCTTCCTTGTGGTGTTTTAAGATAGGAGTTCAACTTCAGGAAGATGTCTCCCTCACAAAGGCTCTCCTCCGATGTCTTTAGATCAAACAAGTAAACAGCCTATTCTCTGCATGGCTATGCCTTTGCCATGTGTGAACTTCCTGGTGCCTGATGAGATGAGACTTTCGGCTGAAGGTTTTCCCACATTCACTGCACTCATGAGATCTTTCTCCAGTGTGAACTTTTTTGTGTCGAATGAGGTTGCATCTCTGGCTGAAGGCTTTCTCACATTCAGTGCACTCATAAAGCCTACCTGCACTGTGAACGTTCTGGTGCTGAATCAGAGCAGACTGCTGACTGAAGACTTTCCCACACTTGCTGCATGTATACAGACTTCTTTTGTGGTGGTGAATGTGGTTAGACCTTCGGCTGAAAGCTTTTGCACATTTGTTGCACTCATGAGGCCTTTCTCTGATGTGAATTTTTTGCTGTTGAGCAAACTGGGTGTCACTGAAGAATTCCCCATGTTCCCTGAATGTGGGAGGCCTGTCTCTAGTGTGAACTCTGTTGTGTTGAATGAGATAGGACTTGCGGGTAAAGGATTTCCCACATGTCCTGCACTCATAACGTCTTTCTCTAGTGTGAACGCTCTGGTGTTGAGTGAGTCCAAAACTTTGGCTAAAAAGTTTCCCACACTCCTTGCACTCGTAAGGCCTTTCTCCAGTGTGAATTCTACGGTGTTTAATGAGGCAGGAATTGTCAACAAAATGTTTTCCACATTCATCACACTTATAAGGCTTCGCTCCAGTGTGAACTCTCCGATGTTTAAGGAGGCTAGAGCTGTGTCTAAAGAATTTCCCACAATCACTGCATCCATAAGGCTTTTCTCCAGTGTGAATTCTCTCATGTACAGTAAGAGTAGACTTTTGGCCAAAGGACTTTCCACATCTGCTGCACTTGTAAGGCCTTTCCCCAGTATGAGTTCTTTGGTGCTGAATGAAACCAAAGATGTTGGTGAAGAATTTTCCACATTCGTTACATTTATAGGGCATTTCTCCAGTGTGGATTTTCTGATGCTGCAAGAGTTTAAATCTTCGGGTGAAGGATTTCCCACATTCACTGCATTTGTAAGGCTTTTCTTGGGTGTGGACACTCTGGTGTTGAGCAAGAGTGTATTTGTGGCTGAAGGCTTTCTTGCCTTCACACCAACTGTGATGGCTTTTCCCACTGTGAACAGCTTCCCCACACATGGTGCTACTGTGTGCTTTCTGTCCACTATGACTGGCCCGGTGCTGGTGCTCATCTGAAACCGCGAGGAAGTCCTTGTCAACCTCCCCACAGGTAAAGGGCTCCCCTGACACATGGAATTTGCAGCTCTTCACAAGTGAAGCCTTTTTCAATGGTTTCTCTACACTGTGCTGCTTCCCGTGCTGGTGACGGTTTGCAATGCAACGGGTTCGTTTCACACATGTGCGAGGTCTCAGCTGGGGACGTGTTCTCTGATGCAGAGCCACACCCAAAATGCCTTTTAAGACCAGACTGCACATTTCACAGGGGTGTGCCTTCTGGGGATTTGTGCCTGCCTGGTGAGTCCTAACCTGTGATACTCCTACAAAGGCGCTCTGCTCAGAAGGTGCCTCCCCATCCTCTGCTCCATGACAACAACCTGAAAGCAGAGAAATTCTAGTGAAGGACACAGAGGCAGCACTGGGAAGAGGCAGCACCATCATCAATGTGTGTCCAATACACCAGTGGATGAGTTGATGGCACTGTTTCCGGGATGAAAGGAGGTGGGGTCTGGGTCAAGAAGCTGCCTCTAAAGGTCCCACAGCGGGGAGGCCTCACCAGGCGAAGAACACATGGGGGGGATGTGGCGCAGGGAGGAGCAGTAGGATCCACAGCTCGTTCCTCTGCTAATGGCTTTTGGTAAATTCTTGCTGGTAACTGCGCAGAAGGGCGCACCGGGGCTCAGGAAAACCCAGCGAACGACAGCTGGTGTTTAAGAACCACATGAGGATACGCGCACACCTCACGATATGGTATGTACCGGCCGACGTGACAGAGCACTGCAGAGGAAGCAGTAAGAGAGGGGCTCAGACAGGTGGGAATGAACCAAATTCAGAGCAGAAATGACAAGTGAGCAAGTGTCAAGAATGGGGAAGGAAAAGTAGAAATGAGGTAGCCAGTGGCACCAAGACTCGAGTGGAAAAGGACAAGTTTCTGTAATCATCTGAACACAGCCCTGATGAGCCCATCTTGCCATGGCTGAAGTCATGTTCATCCTGCAAAACACCCACGACTCCCCTTCCCGACCTGGGGCTCAGGAACTAAATGGGACCTGCATGACTCAAGCGTTAAGGGAAAGGCAGGATAGATGAGTGGTCAGCACAGGCCCAGAGCAACTAAACACGTGAGGCCACAGGAAAGAATATTAATAATACCAACACAGTCCTCAGGGGAGGGTCCTGCAAGAACTGCCATAGTCCACGTAAGTGCCAACCAGGGCAGTGCCCACAATTCCTGGCACAGGCAGGGACAAGGAATATCTTCACTTATAGGAAGTGGGCAAAACATGAGGCAGTGAGGTGCTGTGGACTTGGACAGAGTCAGGCAGTGAAAGGGCAAGCAAGGTGGAAACCAGTAGTGTAACTGCAAGACTACTGGTCATGAATCCTTCCCAGTGAGGCTCTGGCGCAGGGCACTCAGCGCAGCCCCAACAACGACCACAAGTAACTGGGGAAACGGGGAAGGAAGCAGTGCCCATGTTTCTGATGGGAGAAGTACCCAGCTAGCCCTGGGATAAAAACAGAAAGGCAGAGCTTAGCCCAGCTCCCTGGGGTAGGAATGAGATCCTTACCCAGGGAGGTCACAAGTGCAAAGTTCTCCAGCATCACATTGTGGTACAGCCGTCTCTGAGCCTCATTAAGGAGACCCCATTCCTCCCAGGAGAAGTACACGGCCACGTCTTCAAATGTCATACTGTCCTGTCAGGATAGAGACAGATGAAACTACAAATAGCCCCTTCTCCCAAGGACCCACAATCTCTTCCCCCAAAAAAACCATCCCATTAGGGGCACCTGGGTGGCCCAGTCGGTTAAGTGTCCAACTTCACCTCAGGTCATGACCTCATGGTTGGTTAGTTTGAGCCCCATGTTGGCTTTTGGGCTGACAGCTCAGAGCCTGGAGCTGCTTCAGATTCTGTGTGTCTCTCTCTCTTTGCTCCACCCTACTCATGTTCTCTCTCTCTTTCTCTCATTTAAAAATAAACAAACATTTTTTAAAAAATTAAAAGGGGGCGCCTGGGTGGCTTAGTCGGTTGAGCGTCCGACTTTCGCTTAGGTCATGATCTCGCGGTTCGTGGGTTCGAGCCCCGCTTCGGGCTCTGTGCTGACTGACAGCTCAGAGCCTGAAGCCTATTTCAGAGTCTGTATCTCCCTCTCTCTCTGACCCTCCCCTGCTCTCGCTCTCTCTCTCCTAGAAATAAATAAAAATACTTAAAAAAAAAAAATTAAAAACCCTCCCCCATTGGCACCACTGGTGCTCTCTCCTCATGGTCCTGTTAATCGCTGTGTTCAGCCCTCAGCAACAAAACAGCAGATCATCAGAGACACACCATCTCAACTCTGGGCCTGGTGCACTGGGCCCCACTCCTCCTGCCAATACCCCTGCTGTCCTCCAGACTGCTCATCGCAGACACAACCAAATTTGGGCTTTTCCTTCAACTTTAAGTCACCAATACCAGGACCCTGGGGCCATTAGTTCACACTCCCTTTCCACACGCACATTACTCTGTAGACTGCCCCTTTTACATCTCTGGAGCCCACAGATGCATTCCCTCCACCACCACGCCCCCCACCACCACACCTACCTCCCGGCCCCACAGCACAGGCTTCCCCCTGGACTCTCCCCCCTTGTCACTTCACACAAGGCAGCAAGAAAGTGCTTGCTTGGCAAACTCAAATAGGATCCAGTACTACTCAATCCCTGGTGCCTTCTACTACCAAGGGCAGTCCAGAATCCTGCTAGGAAAGCCTCCTCTTCATAGGGAGAAAGCTGCCCCTGTGTTTTGCTTCAACCTCACCAACCAGAACCACACCCACATCTCAGATATTCCTGGCCCTCTTCACCTTATGTGCTGCCCATCCTGTCCCCTCCAGTCACACCTAAACCTCGTTCAAAACCCAGTCCCACTGTTCTTCTACCCTAGGCCTAATAACTCATGGATGGGCACAGCAGACTCTGAAATAAACTACCATCCTGACGGAAACATCTCATGCCCCAAGGGTCATCACAAAATTCCGAAGAGCCTGTAGAAAGGTGAAAAAGCACTAGTTTCAGCCTGAGTACCATCCTGCCTCAATTACTCCTGTGCCTCCACATCTTTCTTATGTCTATTTCTCTCCTGGAAACCTTGGTCACCTGCCAGATCATCCTTCTTGCCCACACCCTCCTCATGGCCACTTTTCTCCCTCACCTGTGTCCCCCAACACCCTCTACCTTCAACCAGGTGCCCAGTCAAGAGGCCCAGTTCTTGGCCCGCACCATCTTCTTGGGCTGCTAACAGGACTACCACCAAGACCTTAAGATCCCCCTCCTCAATGTGACCCACAGCTCCACCTAGGCTGACACAGCGGCAATCACCTCTGCGATAGCTCCAGCCTGATGTCTGCTCCCACCCCCCCAACCACAGTGTGCATGCTGCCCACTTAATGCCTCCACTCAGCAGTCTCTGAAATATCTTAGGCTGAACATGGCTGAAACAAACCTCCTGATATCTTCACTGAAAAGTGTCCCCACTACTAACCACCCCATCTCAGCTGATGGAGCTTCCATCCTTCCAGTTGTTGAGACCAAAAACTTTCAGGTCATCCCTGATTCCTTCCTTTCTCTCCTTCACCTTCCACAACAGAAAGTCTGGTCGGCCCTACTTTAAAAAAATGAATCCAGAATCCAACCACTTCTCCCACCTTGAGGACCAGTGTTTCATCCGCTAACACTCACCTGGCCAATTACAGTAGCATTCTTCTGGGTCCTCCTTCTCTCTCCCTTATCCAAGGATCCGTTCTCCACTGTGCAGCCAGATGAAGCCTGTCAACCCTCGCCCATTTCAGAATGGCTACTTTTTTTTTTTAATGTTTATTTGTTTTTGAGAGGGAGAGATAGAGCATGAATGGGGGAAGGGCAGAGAGACAGGGAGACACAGAATCCAAAGCAGGCTCCAGGCTGAGCTATCAGCACAGAGCCTGAAGCAGGGCCGAACTCACAGACTGTGAGATCATAACCCCGAGCTGAAGTTGGATGCCTAAATGACAGAGTCACCCAGGTGCCCCAAGATCACTTTACTCTTTTTTTTTTTTTTCCTAGGGGGAGAGAGAGAGAGAGAGAGAGCGTGAGCAGGGGAGGGTCAGAGAGAGAGGGAGTCACAGACTGAAACAGGCTCCAGGCTCTGAGCTGGCAGTCAGCACAGAGCCTGACGCGGGGCTTGAACCCACGAACCGCGAGATCATGACCTAAGCGAAAGTCGGACGCTTAACCGACTAAGCCACCCAGGCGCCCCAGATCACTTTACTCTTAATCAAACCTATTACCTCCAGAATAGACACCTGACCTCAAAGGCAGCCATTACAGTCCTGCCTCCTGTCCCCTTGCTTCCACGAGGGAAAAAAGGAAACCTTCAGTTCCCTTGACATTCCCAGCTAAATCACACCTCCAAGTATTTGCACTATTGGTGCCTGTTCCTAGGATAACTTTCCAGACCTCTTTCAGTTGGTTGCCAGAAACAAGAACCCCTCATAACTCCATGCTTGGAGTTTCTCCAAGGTCCCCCAGACCCAAGGCCTGGGAGAATGGCAGGCAGAGTCCCAGGACACCTTAACCCCAGGACTGAGGCTCCCTCCACTGACCTTCGTTGGCCTCATGAGCATTTCTTCAGCCACAGAAACCTGTGAAAAGAGGCAGGCTTTAGAGGAAAGCACATGGCCAGGCTCCATGGGCTCAGATCTCTGTGTATCCCAGCACGGCCCAACAGCCAGGTGACATCAGCTGTCAAACCCCTGTGCCTTGTGCCTCAGTGAGACTCTTACCACGGGGGTGACCCTGCTCAAGATGCAGCCTCTCCGCGCCTCACTGTCCCCCTCAACCCCCTTCCAATCCATTCTAAGAGCAACTTTTGGGAAACATACATTTACTTATTTACTTACTTATTTATTTTATTTTTGAAAGAGAGCGCGCCGGAGCGGGGGGTGGGGGAGGCAGAAATAGAGACAGAATCCAAACCAGGCTCCAGGCTCCAGGCTCTGAGCTGAGCCGAAGTCGGACTCAACCGATTGAGCCACCCAGGCGCCCCAACCCTTGGGAAACTTTTAAATCCCAAAAGGAGATCGCGTCCCTCCTTTGGCCAAAACTCTGACGTCTAGAGTCCTCACTTGAAGGGACAACCCTCCAGCGCGCCAGTGCCCCCGTAACCCCGCCGCACACCCTCTGTGCCCTGAGGGCCGACCCCACTTCCCCGAATCCTCCCGCTTCAGCCCCCACCCCACCCCTCCGCACCAGCCAGCCCCACCCCCGCAGCCCGCTCCCGCACCCCTTCACGCCCGCGCTTACACACGCGCCCCGGCCCACAAGCGCCTCCCGAGCCGGGACACCGGGACCTGGGTCGCAGGGACGCGAGCAGGCTCCCCGCACTGGGGCCTTGAGGACCTGGGTGGGAGGAGAGCGGGGACGGCGCGGAGGGCCCGGGGCCGCGTGTTTACCTGAGTCGGGTCCCCAGACGCGGCCGCCTCCGTCAGACTCTGTGGGCGGAGGGGACACTGGGGCCGGCGGTCACTGTCCCGGCCCCGGCGCAGAGCAGTCCGGACGGCGCCAGTGAGTCGCGGACGCCAGTCTGTGCGACGCGGATAACGCTTCCCCTTGGGCTTTCTCGCTCCCATCACCTCGCTCCCAAGCCAGTGCTTCAGCACTTCTAAACCGATGTAAGCTCGGAGAAACCAAAATGACCGCCAAGCGGAGGACGCCGGAAGTCCCGCCCCGGCGTCACGTGGTTGCCCAGAAGCGCCCTCTTCTGAGCCTTCATTGGCTCAGCGCATCCCGGGCGCAGGCAGAGCATTCTGGGTAGTGTGATCCTACAGCTCTGTAGGCTCCGCTAAGGGAGTTCCCACGCCCGCTTCCCAGCGGCGCTCCAAGGGTCTCTGGGCAGTAGTAGCCTCGCCACCGCGGGGCTGGGCTCCACTCAAGGAAGGGCAGCAACCATACTTCTGGGTCCGTGGTCTCCAGAATGTTTAGAAACATGTTATTTTAGACTTCGTGAAGCTGAGCTTGCTTCAGAAGCCAGAAATACTATTTCAGATGCCCCCAAAGAGATCCAAATGGACATCTCATTCCATCGTTCCTAGGTACAAAATGTGTTCACTCCATAGCTGGAAGCTAATAAACATCATGCTATTGCTTTTTTTTTTTTTTATTTTTTTCTAGGAGAGAGAGAGACAGCATGAGCAGGGGAGGGTCAGAGAGAGAGGGAGATACAGACTCTGAAACAGGCTCCAGGCTCTGAGCTGGCAGTCAGCACAGAGCCCGACGCGGGGCTCGAACCCACGAACCGCGAGATCATGACCTAAGCGAAAGTCGGACGCTTAACCGACTAAGCCACCCAGGCGCCCCTTTGCTATTGCTTTTTAAAGGAATGTACCCCGAAGCGTGGAAATCAGTTTTGTTAGTTTCAGAATTTTAGGTCAGGGACAGGAGAGAAAAGACTCCATCTAGATAGATTCATGGCAATGAACATAGAGGAGGAATGATGTTGGACCCCCTGAATCAGGTGGACAAGGGTAAGCCAGGCTCTGGCTCTCTCAGAAAATAATCTTTCCTGCTTAAATTATTAGTGATTGTATCCAATCCAGTAAGCAACACTGTATTATCCATATATTTTTTACTCCATATCCTAAAATATCCTCTTATGAAATGATAATGGCACAACTCACTA